GACTTCTTCTGAATGAATCTGAGCCTTACCCAGGGAGATCTTTAGAATATTGATCAAAATGTCACCATAATATTGACCCACAAAACTAGGCTTAATTTTTTTTTCTCCAAAGATAGGAAGAAACAAGTTTGGATTTTGTTCCAGGTCCTGTGGCTCTGAAGGCCAGAGCAGCATTTTAGCTCAGTTACTTTAAATGGAGTATGACACTGGGTGACATCACTTAGCCACCAAGTGGACACAGCAATCCTGTTTCCAGTGGCCCCAGGGCTCCTGCACACAGAGGCACTTGGGAAGCCTCTGTGTGTCCCTTCCTGCCCTGATGGAAGTTCCTGAGCTGACTCTCTCAAGGGGGATAAGGGCAGACACCTGTGGCTGGAGGGGACTCCTGCAAAGTCACCTGCTTCCTCGTGGTGGGAGGAGGATGGGAAGAAGAAGGAGTGGACGTTTACTGAGGGATTGCTGTGCACCTGACCCCTGAGAGGACTACCCTGCACTCCGGSGTGGGGTTAAGAAAAGAGGCTTGAGTTGAACTCATAGGGATCTGGATTCAAATCCGATCTCTGCAAGTTGGTTAACCTCTCTGGGGCTTGCTCTCCCATAGAATGACGGCCCCTGGTGAGGCATGCGGGATAGGGGGGACAGGGTGCGGGCTGGCTGGGATACAGGAAACATCCCACTAACGTTGTTCAGGAGCACCTGCGCCCAGTGCAGTCAGCTGTATCCTGCAGAGACCCCTGAGCCTGCTCCAGTCTGGACCCAAAGCTCAGCTTCACCTGAGATGTGGGGATCTCAGCATGTCACCCCCCGCTGAGAACCCTGCRCAGCTTCCCATTGTTCTTCCCCATGTGGAGCACCTTCCTCACCAAAGGTGACAAAGCTCAGCATGATCTGACCCCTCCCATGTCCAGCCTTCTCTTTGTCCCCACTCTCAGCCACCAACCAACCTGGATGGTTTTCTTCCCATCTCTGGAGCAAGCTTGGAATAGGTCAGCCCCCTCGGTGTCTCTCTTTCTTCCTGAAATACCCTCCCCCAGCCTCTCCTGGCTCCCTCCTCAGCCCTCAGCCTTGACCTGCTTCTCCAGGGCTGCTGTCCCTGGACAACAAATTCCCATCACCCCAGCCACCACAAGCCAGGTTGGTGGGTTCGCCTGTTCCCCTCTCCCGCGTGTTGCAGAGTCTCCGTGGGAGATACCCTCTTCAAAAACCGGTTCCATGTCAGCCTTCCCTACTGAACTACGAACTCCCACKGTAACCCCAAATCTAGCCCCGCGCCAGGTGACAGATGAACGAGGACAGAGGGTGGGCCAGCGAAGGGGAGAGAGTGCACCCTGGGATTGGGAGGATTTGCCTGTCTGGGTGGGTGTTCACTGCAGCAAGACTTAAAACAGCTGCTACAGCCTTGGAGCCAGAAGTGGGTCCCTGGAGGACACGTCTGGGTGCCCAGCTGCGATTCAGGGCAGGTAAGGATCAGGTCCCTTGGATTCTGGGTGGTTTCCCCTCTTTGGGGGTGAAATAAATTCACAAGTGGGGCAAAATATACAAGGTGGGGAGGTTTCCAGTTTTCCTCTGCTGACCCTACACCACTTCTAGATTTCATATATATCTCCCAGGCAATAAATCTCCATCAGCCAGTAAACGGGAGTCTTTTACTTTCAACAAAAGACATCCTGATACAGTCCTCTTTGATCTCTTCTGGGTCTTTTCTGCTCCCCTCTGGTCCCGAGTGTCCTGAACAGCAGGCAGGGTTACACCTGAATGCATCTCAAAATCTCAAAAAAGACGACTGTGTGTGCTGCATGCATATCTTTCTTTTTTAAAGGGCTTACGCTTCATTGGATCCAATGGACATTTTGATCCGATTGAACTATTTGATCATTAGGATCATTTTGAGCTTATGCGTTATTATTCGTGTATATCATGTACATCTTAACGTCCCAGGTCTCTGGACTAAGGAAAACAAGAAGTGCCTCATAAAGAGCAGTGCCAGGGCTTCTCAGGTTGGCATCAGACTTCTCAAGTCGTATTTTCTGAGTTTTGCTGCTGATCACCATTTGATTGATTGGTTGGTGGGTTGACTGGTTGTGGTGCTGGGTGTCCCATGCATCCAGGTAAATGCTGATGGTGCTTTTAAAATGTCCAGGGAACCCCCCACCCCACCCCACCCCATCCTGAGACCTCGGAGGCTGAGGTGGCTCCCTGATGGCCTTTCCTGCATTAGCTTGGACACCTGGCAGCAGTTCTGTCCAGAGAACAGCAAGCCTGAAAAGATAACGTGTGCAGAGACTCTCCAACAGGGCTTTCCTTATTTATTAGATTCCAGATACACGGGACCAGGGCGGGAAGAATCCTAGGGCATGTGATTTACAWGGAGGTCTTTGGGAGAACACAGACAGGGGTGGGGTTACGTACAGGGGGTGAGGCGGCCACGAGAGACTGCCGTTTAAAAATATATACATCTCAAGAAGCCATTCCAGCCGTATCATCATTATTAGAAAATAAAGCCATCTTTCAACATAGTGCTTTTCTTTGGTGCTGTTCTGTGGGCACAGACTCTGGTCCCTTGTGTGGTCTTTGTCACAGGCCTGTCTCCATCCCCCACTCCTCCTCCCTGGCCCCGGGGAGGGCAGAGGCTGGAGGGTAGGGGGCCCAACAGGATGGGGCAGGTTGTTCTTGSAGGCCCTGATCTCCTGCTCCCTGGAGCCTTGGGCTCAGTCCTCAAACTGCAGCCTGGGAAATCCATGAAGTTCACATAGGCCCAAAACRGGAGACACCCTCAAGTTCACACGTKCCATCGGGAACCTTTAGAAAGGACGGGAACAAGGAAACCAAACAAAACCCAGCCAGCACCACCTTCTCTGCGGTTGGATTGCCATGTTTTTATTTCTTGGTTGGTTTCAAATGACCTGTATCATGAGTKTACAACTGAGAAGGGTCGTTTCCTCTTTACAGATTTTCTAGAAACGGCAGATTTGGGGGYGCAGGGCTTCCTGAACTCTCCTCGCAGTCCCGGCTCCCACATCTAGCTGGGCTGACAACTAACAAGTCGGCCGCTGCCCTCCGCTGGGTGTCCAGGGGCCCCCAAGTCCACACCAGGGTTTTCCCACCGGGTTGAGTTCCCATGGTAACGGGGGCATTTCCTGTGACAGCCGCTCCCCGCGCAGGCCTGCACCCCCCTTTGCTGGGAAGGTCTGACTTGCAGGGCCTGTGTGACAGGGCACTTTCCCCAGAAAAGGTGGACACACATGCCAGCGTGCACAAGTYCCCTTGAGTTTGGACGGGAAGTGACAGTGCAGACAAGCTGGTACCTGGTAATGAGAGGCTGCTCTCGGCACCCCTCCTCTGGCTTGCAGCAGGGAAGCTGGGGACACCCCAGAGAGCACTCCCCAAGCTCCCTTGCTGAGGACCCTCCAGGTCAGGCCTTGGCCCTGGCCCCTAGTTTTGACCTGGTGTTCAGCTTGGTTCCTTAATGCCAAGGTGGTGACTGCAGTGACCATGCACACCCACCCAGGTCGGGGACAAGGGCAGYGTGAGGTCAGGGCACCAGCAGCTTCAGGGTCAGCTCACCCAGCAACTTAGGCCTTCAGACTCCCCACAGGCTAAAGAAAAGGGGGGATCTCCTGGTGACCTCAGCCTGTCCCAATGTGGCTCAGGCCCAGCAGCTTCTGGTCCACCTGGTATCCCCTAGAAACAGCAACCTCTTCTGACACCTGGTGTCCCAGACAACAGAGATCTGCCTGCCTCTCCCAGGAAGGGGAGGCGGAGTTAGAAAGGCGTGGGCTGGGGACTCGCAGTGTCCCTGGGGGGTCTGCTTTGACCCCTGCCCTGAAGGCAGCTGATTGGCAGGGGCTTATTCCCTTCACCCCAGATCCTCCAGGCTGCCCTCGGCCACCCCCTAAGCACCAGGTGCAAGGATTCAGAGATGCCACCCGAGTGACCAGCCACTGAAATGTGCCCATGTGCCGGACTGAGGGGTTTCTTGGGGCACAGAATACTCCTGGTTAAAACTGGGAAAGTCCTGGGCAAAGGGGGTTGGTGGGTCCCCTATGTAGCAGCAAGACCCCTCTCCTGCCCAGAGCTGGCCAGGAGAGCTACCACCAAATTTCCTTGGTGGCCCTTGTGTACCTGACCCTATGGAATGCAGAGGATGGGTATCTCTGGGGTCCACTGCCTGGGGAGCCAGAAAGGAACTGGCAGCTGGGCCCCCCTGGACCCCATCTCCAGGGCTCACCTGCACCTGCTCKCTGCAGCTGATTCTTTGTGTTCTGGGCAAAGGTGGGTTGGGGTCTTTCCCATCCTGTCCCCACCTCTCCCACAACTGCCAGCCTTAGAGAGTCCAGCAGGCCCTTGGGTGGGAACTTCCCACCAGCCCTCTGGTCTGCACCTGCTCTGAAGGAGGAGGAGGAGGATGGATGAAGCAGAGGAGACCCTGGCTCTTCCCTGAGCCCTGGGGTCACTGTTGCTGGCTGAAGTCACTTTGAGTGAGCTGAGGTGGGGCRGGGGCCTCCTGAGAAAGGAGAGGAGGAGGAGGAAGACCAGTGGCAGGCAGGTGGGAGAGCACAGAGGCAGTGGCCCAGGGGTTCTATCTAGCCTGGGAACACCCAGGTTTCCTGCTGTGTATTGGGGSGGGGCTGAGAGGAGGAGGAGGCAGCCATCTGGATTGTGGAAGGTGTGAGCCTTGCGAAGAGGGAGGCTGAGGGCCTCGGCACAGGCAGGGCCTCCRGGAGTTGCTGCTGAACCCAGGACCTGCCCTCCACCTGCCCTGAGCACTGCCCACCCAGGCTCCGCACCCCAGGAGGGCCGGGAAATGCCCCGCTGCCTCCTGGTGGCCTGGCAGGGACGGTGGGCACTTCCTCTGGTGGTCTCCAGTCCCCAGGGGCATCAGCCCTGGGCCAGGCCTGAGCACTGCTGGTGAGAAGGAAAGACATACCAAAGAAAAAGCGGGTGACAGATGAGCCCCAGGCCCCTTCCCTCCCGTCCTGTCCCGTCCCCGTCCACCCACCCCACTGCACCCAGGAGTCTGCACACACAGCCAAGAGGCAGAGGCCCCTCCGCTGGCACAGCTTAGAGCCATGATACAGGGGTCGAGGTCGAGGCTGGTGGCTGTGAGGGCTCCACCGCGGTCCGTCATCCGTCTGTCCATGGGTGGGCGTGGTCTGTGGGCGGGCCGTCAGACCTTGGCCTCCAGCATCTCCAGGAAGAGTTTGTGCATGGGCACCTTGCCCTGCAGCTTGACGCTGTAGAAGTGCTGCACGGCCTTGGCGGCCGTCTGTCGCAGCAGGGGCAGCGTCAGCAGCAGCTTGCCGGTCCTCCGCGGCTCCTCATGGCGCTGGCTCAGCTCGTAGTCCTGCAGCGCCTCGTGCAGCAGGTCCTGCAGCTTCTGCACGGCCTCCAGGTCCTCGATGTACATGGAATCTGCGGGCACAAGGCGCGTGTGAGTGGCACAGGCACAGAGAGGTCACACTGTGGGCCCGAGGCCACAGAGGACACGATAGAGCTGGGGCGCACACCTGCATCTAAGGACGGGGCCACCARGAAGCACCCACATTGATACCAGAGAGGCTGGCTGTCTGGGTCCCTGGAGGTGCCAGTGCTGGAGTCCCGTGTCCCTCACCTGCCAGATGCATGACATTAATTTCTCTGTGCCTCACTTTCCTCATCTGGGAAATGGGATAAAGGCCAGAACTACCTCAAAGGGTTAAAGAAGTTATCCTGCCTAAGGGCTAGAACAGTAGGTGTCACTAGTGCGTGCCCAGGGAGCAGGTCACCATTGCCATCACCATCACTGTCACCACCCTGCTGGCGCCAGCTCCTCTGGTGCACAGTGCAGTTGTGAACGCTGCAGGTCCCAGCGGCAGACACAGAGACGGGGCCAAGCAGGTCAGGGCACCCCATGGTGGGCGCCTGGGGCCCAGTGATGCAGGAGCTGGAGGAGGGAGGGCTCTAGACCCTCAGGGAGGAAGCTGGGGTGGCTCAGTGGCAGAGTGCATGTCCAGCGTGTGTGACACCATGGGTCCCATCCCAAGCACCGCAAAAGATGAAAAAATAAACGGGAGGGACTTTGAATTTAGGCCACGAATTGAGGATTTGAATGAAATGCACCTAAATCTCACCACAGCAGGGAGGTGCTGCTGACACTATGTTAACATGCATTTGAGTCAAAGGGAATCCCACTCCCTGGGGAGAGAGAACCAGACTTCTTTTGACCTTCCTTGATGACCCTGAACTGTGGTGCCCAAGGCTGGCCAAAGGTGGGAGGACTGGTTGATCCTGGTGACTCTCCCAACCCTCTGGGGCTGTACTCTGCCTGTGCCCTCCAGGATCCGGCCTCTTTCTGGGTTGGGAGCAGTAGAATGACAGAAAAGACTGTAGAGGCACAAATACGTATCAGCTTTGTATGGTGGTAAGGGTTAAAGGAAATGGCACATCACCAGGTATTTAGTCGGCACCTAGTATTTACCTATTATTATCATTATTGGGGGGACTGGGTCTGGGGGGAGTGTCCTTGCAGGGCTGGGTAATCCTTGGCCATACCCAAGTCTCCTCCACATTTTTCCACAGTTACCAAGCCAGCAAGGACTCCTTTGCCAATTGGGAGATGGAACGTGGCTCTGTTCCTATACTCTAAGTCATTTACAGTCATTCACAATGTAAATCAAAATGTGGCTGGTCCCTGCAAGGCTGGACCCTGGCCACCTGGATTCCCTGACTCTGTCCAGCTCCCCCTCCCTGTCCGGTCACCCTCCTCTCCTTCCCCCAGGAGGCCAAAATTGGCAGGTGTCTTCGACCAAAAATGAAATAAAATAACACTGCAAGATTAATTTCTCCACAATCCATCAGCAAGTCTGTATCGATGGCATTGATAAACTGTTAATTACAAAATCAATGGCTATGAATTTTTCCCGCTGTCAGGGAGCCCTGGAGATGGCCGGGATGTGGGGTGAACGGCAGACCGCAGGCTCCCGAGGGGCTGAGCTCTGGGGCCTGGCCTCACTCCAACGTGCTCTGCTCCTGCCTGGCATGAGCCACTGAGCCACTGAACCCCGCCACGTCTCATCTGCTCAACCTCACGGTGGCACCCACAGGCCACCAGGACCTCCTCAGTGATCTCCTGGACCCCATCTCTCCTCCATGCCACCTGGGTGATTCCCCAAGGCTGGGGACAGGTCACTCGCGGACATTTCTTGGCTCCTGTGCTGAGGCCATTCCAACCCAGGCCRGCCCAGCCTTGAGCTTCTTGTCTCAGGGGATGAGGTTCAAGGAACCTGGATTCTTGCCYAGTGGCATCTAGAGGCCACCCTGCGTTCAGTGCTCAGGTGTGAGATGCTCGGGGAGCAGAGGGCGCGTTCTTCCCATCTCCTGCCTTGCGCCGACTGCTCCACTGCAGAGCCTTCTCCACTCCCCTCTGAAAACCTCTCCCGGAGCCTCTGCACGAGCCTCCACTGTGCTGGGAACATGTTTGGTTCTGGCTTTGCCCATGTTCATGTCCCCCCCATCTGGGGTCAGGGACTGTATCCAACAGCCTCTTCCCCAGGTTGCCAGCACTAGGCCTGGCAGAGACGAGCAGAAGCACCTGCGGCGAGCAGGTGCCTCACTGTGCAGAGGAGGAAAAGGCTGCTCAGAGAGGTTGACTACTCCAAACTCACAGGCAGGGTTTGAACCTGGGGCTGGCAGGTCCTGAAGTCCACTCTTCAAACCTGTGCTGTTCTGAGCACAGGGACCAGGCAGGTCCCCTCTGCCCTCTGGTTGTTTAACAGTGGCCTGGGTAAACCCGGGGTAGAAATTGTGAGTATTTGGAAACTTTAGAGCAACTTGACAGGATACGTTTTCCTTACGTCTATTGTATCTAGAAATTTTAAAAAATGGGCTGATACTTTGTATATCTGATTTTTAAATTTCATTTTTTATAATAATTCGTTTTTGTTGTATTTTACAAAATGATCAGCCTGTGATGAATCAAAAAGTTTAAAACATTTAAAAACGGATCCTTCATTACAGGCACCTTGGAAAGTGCTGCTTTTTTGTTTGTTTGTTTGTTTTGGGGCACTCAACCACTGAGCCACATCCCCAACCTCCTTTTYTAAAATTTCATTTTATTTAGAGACAGGGTCTCACCGAATTGCTCAGCGCCTTGCTTTTAGCTGAGGCCATCCTGCACTCAGAGAGTCTGGCACCTGCGCCCCAGCCACAGGATGGCCTYTAGATGCCAGGTGGGCAAGAGGCCTGGAACCTCATCCCACGCGACCGAGGGCACACTCGGGCAAAGCTGGGTGCTAGAAAACTCTGCACCAAAGAATACATGACAATTTTGGACTYTGAAAGTGTGAACAATCCCTATGAAATGTTAATTATTATTTTATATTCATTTATTATTAATAAAATGGAACTGAACCAAACACAGCGCTTGCCTCTGTATGAGGTGAGGGTCCCCAGGAGCACGGCCTCGGCAGGGGCTTGGGTACAAGGGCCTGTGGAGGGCATGCATCAGAAGACAAGAAATGGGGGCAGCAAGCAAGGCGGACGAGGCCGATCCACACAGAGCTCTGATCCAGTCTGCCCTCCCGGGTCCACCCCTGGCTGACAGCGCCCAGGGGTGGAGCCAGAAACTAACTGCCTGGGGTTGGGCGGAGCAGGGCTGAGTCTAGGAGGGTGACTGTGGGGTCAGCTGCAGAGCTCAGCACCTGGGGGATCGGTCACATTCAGGCAAAGGTCTGAATGAACCATGAAGCCACGTTAGGGTGACTTAGGCTAGGGTGACCAGCTGTCCCAGTTTGCAGGTATGCGGGGTTTCCTGGAAGGTGGGGCTTTCAGTCAAAGCGGGACAGTATGGAGCTCAYGGGTSGGTGGCCCTGCGTGTCTCCAGCAGCCTCCCTCACCAAGAACTGATGACACTTAGTCTCCTCTAACAGGAATAGGAATGGAATTAACTAATATTCATTAAACTTTTCTTCTAGGCCAGGCACTGGACAAAGTGCTTTATCTMCAGTTGTTCATTAACCCTCACAAAAGTGCTTGAAAGAGGTATCAGAATATCCCCACTGCACAAAGAACAGAGCTGAGCAAGGTCCTGCTGCCAGGGAAATGTCAGAGACAGAAGTTGAACTTGGGTCCTTGTGACCCAGACCCGAGCAGTTAGCTTCACCACACACTTCCCTGCAGAATTCCATGCCTGCCTTGCTGGCAGACTCCTRGGCAGGGACCCTGTACTCGTCCTGCAGCCCTAGCACCCCGTAGCGTGCATGGGCTCAGTGCGCACATGGACACATTCAAGTTCACCCACCATTTCCCAGTCCGCCCCCTCACCCTAGGTAATCTAGCCAGAAGTTGGTAAATGGTTAAACGGGATGAATCCTCCCTCTCTGCGGGCATTCTGTGAGGGAGAGGTGGTACTGGGAACTGAACCCAGGGCCTTGCACACACTAGACAAATGCTCTACCACTGAGCCACGTTCCCAGCCTGGGAATGCTCTTTTTTTAGACRACAGACTAAATGGTTCATTTGGGAAGGTTTCATTTTCATGTGTTCAAGCAATTTGATGGAAAGTTTTAAGGAGTCGATAAAAGCTTGGGCTGATTTTGAAATTAGGTGACCCTGGTTTGGGTCTTAACTCTGGACATTTTTTTTTTTTTTAAACTTTTCCAGCCTCAGTTCTCACATCTGTAAAATGTGGCTCCAATAATTAAAAATTTTCTCACAGGGCTGTGGGTAAGAATTAGRTCCAGGCTGGATGTCGTGGCACATGCCTATCATCCCAGTGACTCAGGAGGCTAAGGCAGGAGGTTCATGAATTCAAAGCCAGCCTCAGCAACTCAGCGAGGCCCTAAACAACTCAGCAAGACTCTGTCTAAATAAAATATTTTTACAAAGGCTGGGCTGGGGATGTGGCTCAGTGGTTAAGCACCTTTAGGTTAAATCCCCAGTGGCAAAAAAAAAAAAAAAAAAAAAAAAGAAACAGGGGCTGGGGTTATGGCTCAGGGGTAGAGTGTTCGCCTGGTGCATGTGAGGCCCTGGGTTCCATTCTCAGCACCACATAAAAGTCAATAATTCAAGGTATTGTGTCCAACACAACTAAAAAATAAATAAATAAATAAAACCTAACTGAACAAGCTGAGCACTTATTACGTGCCAGGCATGTTGTAAGCATAATATAATTGTGTATAAATAAATCCTTTCCATAGTCTTGTGCAGTAAGGTTTGTTTACTGTCCCCATTTTATTGATTAAAACAAAAACTTGGGCTCAGAGTGAAGCCGCTCGCTCAAGTKGGGGAAGCAGGATTCGACCCTGAGCAACCTGACTGTGTGTCCTTAAGCAGCATTTGGATCTGGATGTCACCGTCTTCTCAACTCCTGGCCACCTGCTCTGCCCCACCCATCTCTGCTGCCAAGAACAGGGGCAGCTCCTTCCGGCCCTCCCCACCCTTCGCGGCCCTCCCCACCCTTCGCAGCCCGGCTTACAGCCCCAGAGACGCGGACCCCACGCGGCCCCTACCTGAGTTAGCCAGAGCCAGGGCCTTGAGCGTCACAAACTCCTCCTTCTCCACCTTGAGCTTCTTGTACCTGCGCACCAGCTGCAGGATGGCCCGGTAGAGCTCCAGCAGCCCGGCCAGGCGGGAGTGCTCCTCGTCCATGATGTAGTCCTCGGCGTACACCAGCTTGTCGTCGTAGGGCAGCGAGCGGTACACGATGCCCAGGATGAGGATCTCCATCCAGGCGCTCTGCAGCAGGCTCATCTGGTCGCCCAGGGAAAGATTCGAGAAACCTGTGGGAGGAGGGCAGCGGTGGTCAGGGGCAGGCTCTGTCCTTGGCACTGCCAGAACCTGCTACAGGGGACATCCCTGGGTAGCTGCTAAACCCACGTCCTTCCGTGGTGAATGATCCACACTCAAAACTCACAGGAAGGACTTGCATGACCAGAGCTCCACATTGGTCTTGCTAAGCCACCCATSCTGGCCTCTACCCTGCCMTCCTCCTGCCTCAGCCTTCTGAGTACATCACTCTCCTTCAACAACGTTTTGTCCTGGGGGTCACTGGGGTTCCCCCTCCCTGCTAGCAAGAAGGCCGACTCCACAGTGAATGGAGGTTGGGTAGGGGTGCCTTGCCCTGGACTGGGCCTGGGCTGGAACCCCCTCTCCCGGTTCACTAGCACAGCTTCTCTGTGGAGCTCACAAGTGCCAGGCCTCAGCCTCCTCTCCTGTGTTCCTGTGGAGTCTAAATGAGATGGTGAGGACAGGAGGACATAATTAGTATTTGTTGGGCTCTTAGTAATATGAGCCAAGGTCAACATTTGTCAAACGAAGATGACATCCTGGAACTGCATTATATATGTACTTAACATAGGCACCGTCAATTAACATCTTGATTAACAAGAGGCCAAGAAAGAAAGAGTAAGATCACTGATTCTCATACAGCTTTTCTTTTTTTTTTTTTTGTACTAGGGATTGAACCCAGGGGCACTCAACCACTGGGCCACATCCCCAGCCCCCTTTATTTTCTATTTTGAGTCAGGGTTTTGCTAAATCGTTTACAGCCTAAGTTGCTAAGGCTGGTCTCGAACCTGTGATCCTCCTGCCTCAGCCTCCTGAGTCTCTGGGATGACAGGCGAGAGCCACCCTGCCTGGCCACATATCTTAACTACTAAACACGAGGCAGTACCTTCCCCAGGGGCTGCACGATGGCTTCCCACACTGACATGCTACGTTAATTTAAAGGAGAAAGAGTGTTCACAAAGCCATTGGCTCCATGCACAGAAATTAAGGCATTTTTTTTCTGGGGTAATTCTGCCCCTGAAGGATCTGCTGACGTAGGAGCTCGCCCTGCCTGGCTGCCATTAGCTGATGTCACGGTGTCATGAGGTCGAAAAGATGCACTTGAACACCCAGCAGCACTCCCAGCACACGGCGGCTCTCAGTGGCCCTCAGCCGGGCGCTGCGAAGCTGCTGATGTCCCGGACACCTGATGTGCCTCACTCCTGTCTTCCCATTGCATGTGCCTATGGCCTGGGTGCACCCTGTTTTTCATGGCTGATCTCCTTGGCTTCTGTGATCCATGCCCCCTCATCTGTCCCTGGTTTCCAACCAGTGTGTGACTCTTCACCCCTAGGGGGCGCTCCTGGGGCGGCAGGCTGTCCTGAACCTGGTCCCATCGGAWCAGCCTGGGCTTTGGGTCACCAACGGGCTACTGGAACACGAGGAGATCAGCCAGCGAGTGGGAAGGGTTGCAGCCAGCCACCCACACGGGGTGAGGAGCTGATTGATATGCCTTCTGGGGAGAGGCCGGGACACMGAGGGGTCAGCTGTGTGTGTGTCACCATCTAGATCCCCAGCMTGGGCGAGGGTGCATGGGGGCCGGRGGAGTCGGGAGGCAATAAAAGACAGATAGAAATGGACATTCAATTTCCCTTATCAGGTCTCTGAGTAGGAGAGAGGCCCTGGGCGACATTAATTAACAGATACCAATCAGCCCGCGCAGGAGGGTGTGTGGTGAAGTGCCGGCTGCACCGCGAGGGGCGTCTGGGCCTGCAGACTGGCAGGGAGGATGGAGGAGGAGGGCAGGGGTGAGATTAATAGACAGCCCCACTGGAAGGTGGCAGAGAGGGAGGGCTGGGCAAGAGCCAGGCTTCAGGAAACGCGGGAGGAGAGCCCCTGTGGGCTGATCACCCAGGTAGGAGGTTTACAAGAGTTGGCGCCATGGGTCTGCTCCTTTAGTCAGTCGACAAATATTCACTGAGCACTTACTAAGTGCCGGGCCTCTGCTTCACTGGGGACTCAGCTGGAAGCGAGATGAGCTCAATGGGCTGTTGGAACCCACAGAGATCCATCGGGACAGAGAGGGGGCTCCAGCCAGAACTGCTCCCTGTCTTCAAGAGAGCGTGGTGAAGAGGGCGTCCCGGATCACCAAAGGTCACAAACGATCACACAGTTATGACCACAAGAGGAGCCATGGAGAGTGGACAGCTCTGGGGACATGCAATGGGACCATGTGCCAGAGAGGGCCTGGGGAGGGTTTGCAGAAGGGTGACTTGGGGACAGAGCTCTGCAGGAGGATGCTGAGGACACCCAACACTGAGCACAGTGGACTGTTTACTCCACTGCCAAGCCCTGGGCCTGCAGCAGAGCAGGGCCCAACCCCTGTTCCCCAACCCCTGTTCCCAGCGGAGGAGAGACTGGACATACCCCAGGTAACAAGACAATAAAGCAGTTTGTCGAGCGCCTTCAATCCTTTGGACTCAGATTCAGACTTAGCTGCCTCTGCCCACCATCGTGTAAGACTCAGGAATCAACCTGGCCTTCRGTGGGAGTTGGGGGCACCTTATTGGAAAGTTCTGTGCCCCGTGCGCAGGCACAGCTGGGGGAGCTGTTCCCCCAACACCTCGCTGCTAGGCTGGTGTGGACAGTGGGCTCAGCCCCCGATTTCTCTCCTCCTCCTCGAACACCTGCAAATGTCCTGGAGAGAGGAGAAGATTCTACCAGATGCTCCAGGGTGCCAACCGGGTACCCAGGCCACACTGCTCCATGTGGGGAAGGAAAGAAATGTTGGCCATCATCTAACTTTTAAAATAGTTCAAATGCTTCCTAAGATTTGAAAAAAGGAACACTAGAAGACAAACATGAGAAACAAACACGGTTCCCTCTAGGAGGGCACGGGATGGAGGTGGGGTATCTGCGTGCACATTTTCAATCATGTCAAAGTTCAACATGTTCAAATATAAAGTTAAATCATAAATACAGTTTAATCAAAAACAAAACAACAGGCATACTCCTTTCAATTTAGCACTTCCACCTCTCAAAAGAGTATCTCCCAGAAAGATAATGTGTAAATACACAAGGATTAATGTAACAGGGTATCGATTCCATTACTGTTTGAAACATCACAAACAGAAAACAACCTACACGTAACTAATGTGAAACACTTAATTAGATAAATGCAATGTTCAGTTAAAGGAATGGCATATTAGAAATTACTAGAAAGAAAGAAGTAGAAGCCAGTAGAAGCCAGGCATGGTGGCGCATGCCTGTGATCCCAGCAGCTCAGGAGGCTGAGGCAGGAGGATCGCAGGTTCAAAGCCAGCCTCAGCAACAGTGAGGTGCTAAGCAACTCAGTGAGACCCTGTCTCTAAATACAAAATAGAGCTCAGGATGTTGCTCAGTGGTTGAGTGTCCTTGAGTTCAGTCCCCAGTACCAATAATAAATAAACAAATAAAAGAAGAAGAAGTAGAACTGTTTGTGTGGAAAGGCAAAAATACCCAAGAGCATAAAGAGGGCATTGGGAGCACAGACTCCGGGCTGGACGTCAGAATCTTTGCTTGCTGACTACCTGAGATGACCCTGGGCAAGCTCACCTCTCTGAGCCTCCATTTCCTCCTCTGTAAAATGGGAAAACCATAGCTTTTGACTTTGGGGGGTTGTTCAGATGCAATGACACGTGGAACACCAGAACTCTGCTCAGCACATGGGAAGGGCTACCATTTGGTCTAATTAAAGGAAAAACCGAGTGTAAGCACTGTGGGAGTGGGAATCTCCCCGCCCCCCAGGGGGTGGGGGTGGAGACACTTCACAGTGTTGTGCACATATAGGAAATTTCCAGAAGGGTRCTCAAATGGGGGATTGGAGAGGCTGAGTTCCACCCTATCTGACCTCTTCACATATTCCTTTATTTTAAACCCAAAGCAGCTGAAGCACTCCTCCACGCTTCAGGAAAGCTCTTTCCACTTCCACCTCTCTATCCTGGGCTGGGCCACTCCTCCTCCAGGGAGTCAGAGATTCCAAGCCGGGGAGGCCCTGGCATTGTCCACTGGGAGAAGCTGTGGGTGTGGCTGGGTCCCTGGGAGAGCAGGGCTGCTGGGTGGGGTGGGGCTGACCCTGGGCAGCACTGCCACTCCAGGCCCCTGGGTCGAAGGCCTCCCGCCAGGGGCTTTGCTGCCCCAGAAAATTTCTTTATCTGCACCATCAGATCTAACAGCCTCCTCCGTGCTCTGCCCAGGCCCCATCCCCCCGGGATCTGGCACCAGGAGCATCTAGAATTTAAAAAAAGGAAAAAGAAAGCACATAATTTGTGGCAAGTGGAGTTCATAATCTGTTAATTTATGATGGTCTCGGCCGACCTGGAGGGCCATTAGAGAGGTAATAAAGGGAGATGTAATTATAGGATCTGGGGCCACTGCAGACACAGCTGCTGTCACTCGGCAGCTCATCTTTCATCCAGCCAGACGGCAGCTACCTGGGAGCAGGCCGCCCAGGGACCTTTCTGAGGAGGCCTCTGGGGAGCCCCTGGACATGCAGCCTGGACCGGGCAGGGGCAGTGGTGACTCCCCATGAAGGCTCCCCTGGCCTGGCCGCCCAGCCTGCATGGGAGGGTGGGTGACCTGCTAGTAACGTGTGGAGGCTTCAATTCATCAAGAGCTTCTCTCCGCCTGCTAAAAGATGCTGGCTCTTGTCCTAATTTCTTGCTCACAGGAAATAAGAGGTGGGCACTCTGAAGACGCTTACCCTTCAAGCAGCCCAATACTTGACAAGTTCAACCTCAGACTGAACTAAACTCGGGCTGCCATTCTGAGCAAATCACAACCCTCCCTGAGTTCCCCGGGGAACTCGTCCTTGGTCCAGTGAGATCCTTGGGGCAGAAATGAATCTACAGTAGTCCATTCTCCTATCTGAGGTTTCACTTTCTAAAGTTTCAGTTATCTGAGGCCGATTACCATTCAAAAATATTAAGTGGGAAATTCCATAAATAAATGATGGGTCAGATTTAAACTGTATAACATCCTGAGACCGATGACAAAACCTCATGCCGTCCTGCTCTATTCTGCCCAGGACACGAATAATCTCTTTTTCCAGTGTATCCACACTGTATATGCTACCCACCCTATTCACCACTTAGTAGACATCTAAGTTACCAGGGCAACTGACACAGTACATATGTTCAAGYATCCTTGTTTAATAATGGTCCCAAAGCACAAGAGCAGTAATGCAAAGGAGGCACCAGAGCATAAAACACAGAAGAGCAGACTAACTCTGACACTGTGCAGCAGTGCATACAGGGAACAATACTGTATTTRGACAGGATTTGGAACTATCCATGGTTTTAGGCCTCCATGGGGGTTCTTGGAGCATATCTCCCACAAATGAAGAGCCCTCCTGCAACTCCTGTCCCAGCTACAACTCCAAGCAGGAGACCCTACATACAGTGAGTGCTCACTTTGTGCACACCAAGGCCAAGTGTGTAGTGCTCTTTTGTGTGCCTGGCCTTGGACTAGAGACTGGAAGATACTAAAGCAAGGGACATGGTCTCCTGTTGCTTAAGACAGCAGCCTCTCCAGAGATCTAGTCCTGAGCAGTCTGAAGTGGCCAGTTCTTCTTTCTGTCTATCCCAGAAACAAAGTGGCTAAGAGCCAACACAGTCTCAGGGTGGCCTCCAGCCTGCCCGTCTCTCTCTCTCTCAGGGCTAGCTCACCATCTCATCTGAGAYGGGATTAAGCCAATTAGTTTAAACACTGGGCAGTGGGTGCCGCTGTCCGTGCCGTGAGGTCTGCATGCGGGGACAGAAGACTTCACTAATTAATTTTACCTTAAACACTGGAAGGTCAGATGCAAATAATTCAGCTGGCAGATTAATGCCAAGTAGGAAAATTCGCAATTGGGACAGACAAATGAGCCCCTATATTTATTTTATTCTTTTAATCCAAAGGAATTCAACTTTGGATGAGGAGAAACGACGGAGATCCCACGGGTGATGACGACGACCACGGCAACCGTCTGGCATCACCAAGTGGCCACGGGATGGGCTGCGTCCCCCCACGGGGACTCCATCAAGACCCCCATCTTACAGATGAGGACGCTGAAGCTTGGGAAAGCCAGGTATCTTACACAAGGCCAGGGAGGACAGAGCTGGGATGGAGCCCAGGCCACCTGCTCCATGTCCCCAGCAACCACTCTGCCCTGCCCCTCCCAGATGGGAGAAGAATGGGGGCAGGGAGACGGACTCTCCTGGTCCTACTCCCCTCCGTAGGAAGTGTTATGGGAGTGGGGTGATGGAAGGAACCGCCAGGTGCCACTCCTGAGCCATCTCTAGGATGCAGTATCTGCTTGACCAGGAACAGGGATACAGGGACAGGCAGGGGTAGACATGCGCAGTTTGGCCCTAGGTTAGTGGAGCAATCCAGGCTGAGGGGTCTTAGCAGTGGCCTGACCCCATATCTGTGCTGAGCCAGCACTGGGCAGATTGAAAAACTACTCAGTGTATAATCTCCAGGAGGCTGAGCTCCTTAGCAAGGGCACACCAGCCAGGTCCCTGGCAAACCCACTGGAGTCAGAATGTCCAGGGCCACCAGGGAGTCCCCCAGGCTTCCTGCCAGTTAGCAGTCAGCCAATAGCACCTCCAGGTCACCCAGTCTCTCTGTGAGCCCCCATCCCATGAAGGCTCCCTCCTGACAGCTGTTGTTGCAAAGGCTCACGCGGGACTTTCTGATTCACCTCAATCAACCTCAGGCTTGGCATTTGAAGGCTAGGACACCTTTGCTATATCATCATGCATGCTGTATTCACCTCTCAGGGCTGCGACAAGAGAAAAAAGAAACAATGTGCAGATGGGAATGTGGGAATGTTGTCTCACAGCTAGAGCCTGAGCCTACAGCAGGGTCCCTGGCAGAGGGTAACAGGATGAGGGTCTCCTCGCCCTGAACAAAGGAGTGGAGTAAAAATCACCAGGAGCAAGAAGGTCCCAGATGTGTGAATGTAGAATCATGGGGACATTGGTGTCTGCACAAAGAAAATAATCAGCTCACACCCTTTGCCTGGAGGCTTACAGCGGAGCGTGGGTCCAGGTGGCACATACTTCCCATGCCAGAAATGCCTTAGATTCACAGTTTCATTCATATAAAGAGGCAGCTCCAGCCTGTAATCCCAGCGGCTCGGGAGGCTGAGGCAGGAGGATCACAAATTCAAAGCCAGCCTCAGCAAAAGCCAGGTGCTAAGCAACTCAGTGAGACCCTGTCTCTACTAAAACACAAAATAGGGCTGGGGATGTGGCTCAGTGGCCGAGTGCCCCTGAATTCAATCCCCGGTACCCCCACCCCAAAAAAGAAGCAGCCCCAGCAAAGGGCTCCGGCAGGTGGCCACTGTGAGCATGCAGCTGACACTGGCACGTGCCAGGCCCCGGGCCCGATGCTCCGTGCCATCCTCCTCATGTCAAAGCCACAGATGAGGCACCCGAAGGCTGCAGACCCAGACTGTGAATCCGATCTGATCCCCCAGTGGCTGCCTGCCTCTAATATGGAGGAAGGGACGCTCACCTCCTGTGAGCTGCTTTCCATGTGATTCCAATAAGGTCTAGAAGAAAACCCTGCTCTTTATCCTTTAAGGATTCGAGGAACTTATTCTTTGAATATTACCAATTGCAGATCCAATCACAGCCCCATCCAGAATGATAAACAGTTCCAAAGAACCCCTAGCAGCTGGTGAACACCAGTGGACCTTCCAAACATGGGCGCCTCTCCGACCCCACTGGGAAGAGCAGGCCCCCAGGGAAGAACAGACTTGAAATCAGGCCTCCTGGACATGCACCGGTACCCCAGGAATGGGGCGGCCCGGGGAACACGGCAGACAGCCCCTCGCCACACWTTCCCAGGGGCCCCATGACTCACCTGGGATGTGCTTGGCCCACCCGATGATGACCACAAGCTCCCGGTCTGCCAGGTCACAGAGCGTGGTGAGGGCCTTGATGTCCCCCTCAGGCATACCAGGTGGGGGCATGGCGTACAGCTTGTCCGGCTCGGCCACCAGTAGGTATGAGACAATCTTGGTCACTGCAGTGACAAAAGGGGACAAGGTAAATACCCAGGCAAGAGGGAAGGGCAGGTGGAGCCCAGACGGTGAAGGAGGGAAGTCAGGCAGAGCCTCAGGTCACCTGGGGCTGGAACATAGAGTGGCTAACAGCAGTGACCTGTGGTTGAGAAGTATCTATCCACGGGAGTTCTGGTGAATTCTCCAGGGAGGACCGTGAAGCCTAACCGGGGGTTGGTAAGAGGGCAGGCCTGGATGCTGGGACCTTGACTTCTTGGGACCCTGTCTCATTCCCAGCCTCGATCGGGGTCTACCCCTCTTGGAAAGGCCTTCTGGGGGAACCAGGCAATAGCACCCCTCCCTGAGACCCACCCTGCTCCATGCCATCTCCCCATAGGACACCAGATGTCCCAGGCACATATACTGGGAAAGGGCATGGACGGGCCTGGTACGTACATGGCTTTTTAGCGGGTGGAGAAATTTGCAAGCTCAGATATGGGCTGCTCTCTGAATCCAGCCGCCGCTTGTACTTCTGGCGGCCTCCACGCACTCGGTCAAGACGCACACCTGTTGGAGAAGAGAGAGAGAGGGTCACAGGGGTCGCTGGACATCACCATGGGTGCCAGCACCATCTTTGGAATCTCAGCACTGGCTCAGCCCCTCGGTGTCATGCCCAGCTGGTCAGCCTCAGACCAGGGAGTTGGACCCCCTTTAAACGCTGTCTCACAGGAAGGGCCCACCCCAGTTGCCCAGGCCTGGTCCTGCCTCTCTGGATTCAGCCTCCTCCTGAAATCCATCCCATGCCACCTCTAGCCCAGGTCTACATGAAGCCCCCTCCCAAGGGTTGGGGAAGAAGAGGTCAGAGTGTGATCTCCCTGCTTTGAATCCAGGGCGAGCGGAGTTCCTGGCTAAGATGGGAAAGAGCAGACAGGGACCGTCAGACTTTTCACAGAAGGACCCTCTGGGTGGGCACTCATGATGACTGTCAGCTTCTGGTCTGCCCTGCGGGAGTCTGAGATGGGGCTCTAGAGTCTGCGTTTTACACAGAGCCCCCCAAAACGGGGATGCAGGACACCCTGGCCAGTCATGGAAAACCAATGCCAGGGAATACCAGGCTAAAGCTGTGCGGAGACTCCACGGTGACATCCACTTCCAGGGGCGGGGGCCTGTCCCCTACCCATCATTGCCAGTGAGTCTACACCGCTTCCCAGAAGCCAGCCCCAGCCCCAGCTCCTACTGTCCGTACAGACACCTCGGTACCACTGGCACCCACTCTTGCAGATCGAGGGCAAGGGGCTTCGGGCAGGTCCCTCCCCAAGGCACACAAGCTCAGACTGGCCRCTGACCAATGTGGAACTCATCACCGAGGTATGAACCAACACTGAGAGGACCAGAAGGCAGGACAGAGAAGTGGACAGGAGGGCGAGCAGGAGCCCAGCCCAGCCCAGCGCCTGGGTCCCTGGCTCAGCCTGCAATGCACCCCTGCCTTCTGGCCTCGGCTCTCAGAGGCCAGCTCTTATGGAAGGTCCCTTCTCGGATTCCTTGACTTGAGCTACTGTGAACAGGTCTTTCTCGACTGTGAGATGGGCCTGGACTCAAACCCATAAAAACAGACGCAGAGACCAGAGTCCTCAGAGGAAGAGAGCGCGGTGGGTCACCGGCTCTGGAGTGAGGAGCCAAGTCCAACGTCTGCTCTTTTCTGCAGAGGCAGGAGCTACCCGCTCAAAGAGCCTCAGCCGGTTTGCCTTCAGGGCCTGTCCTTCCCCTTTCTCATACACTGGGATCTCTCAGATCTGGGAAGCAGGACCTGCGCTCTCCAGTCCCCTGCCTCTCCCATCTGCTTCCCCAGGGAGGTGGCCCCAGGGAGGTGCCTGCTCCTGCTCCTGCAGCCTTCCTCCAGAACAGGAGGAGGAAACGATAGCATGCCAGTTTAGACCCCATTCCCGCTGTTCCTTTGACAGGACACACAGCCACTCCATTGAAGTCCCTGGGACAAGAGGAGGATTCCTGATGCAAAGAGCAATAGGAAGTAAAATGACTTTGTGCCCACAGCAGGGCCAAAGCCACATCCTCCTCCGGATGTCAGTGCTGGAGCRCACCCAGCCTGCAGGCCACCTGGAGGAACTGCCTCTTTGGGGCCAGGTGCCACTCAGCATTTTCATCAACAACATCCTTTTCACCCACCGCCTGCGCTTGTCCCTGGTGCCCCCCCAGGGCTGCCGTCAACAGGGGGAGGGTGCACTCAGCATCCTACTTCTAATCTGTATTTACAGGTAACTCCCTGCGGGGGTTGTCTTGGTAGGGGCTGTGCCCCATCCCCCACTGACCATAGGCACAGGCAGCTGGACATCAAAAAGACGGAGGGAGGGAGAGGTGGCAGCCCCAGGTGGGACCACACCAGTTACAACACTTCCTGCTCCTGGGAGCCCAGACTCCTCTCTGGTTTCTGAGTGGGGTCCTTGAACCTCCCGAGAGGCTCTGGTCCACCCTCCTTCTGCTCAGAGGCCCAGAAATGGTTGTAACCGACCAGGTGGGCAGCTGCTCTCTGCAGGAGCAGAAATCGAGACAAAGATGTGCATCGAGCCGTTCTGGAAAAGGAAGGAGCTGGATAAAGAGAGTCGGCCTCAGGAGGTCCCTGCAGACCTTGGGAGTCGGGGACTCGGAGGGCCACCAGTCACCAGCCACCGCTGCTTTGGCACTTCCTGCCTGTCTCTGTGGTCCAGGRCGAGTTGGCTGGTAGCCAAAGAAAGCCCTGGGGCAGAGCCGCAGCCACAAGTGTCAGACCTGGGGACACTCAGGGGCAGAGCGTGGTGAGTGGGTGTGGCAGGGGTGGTCTGCACTGGCTTTCTTCTCAGAGGGTGGCAGCATCACCGTCACCAGGGGTTTGGGAGAACTGTGAACATCTCAGGCTGGGCCAGAGCCATCGGAAGCAACATCTTCACAAGGTGACAGCCCCTTCCCCACAGGATCTGAAGGGGGCTGCTCTGGGCATCCCGGAGACTCAACCGCCATCAGCACCCAGGACCTGAGCGGACGGCCGCATCCCCCCGGGCACCGGCCTGCTGCAGGACTGAGGCTCACCTCTGCCCCCTCGTCCCCGCAAGTCCCTCCAGTGAGGGCCGAGAAGGCAGACCCACGAAGACAGGGAGGTCCTCCAGGGACCTCCCACTTCGGGGAGTCTCTGCCTCCATCCTGTGACACATCTCATGGAAGACCCCTGCCCAGGACCCCCGAGACAAAAATGCAGCCCCCACCCTAACTAAGCTCTGCTTCCCCTTGAGATGCCGAAAGGACCAGAGTGAAAATCCAGACTTCATCAAGGTTGGTGAGGAGCCCCATTTACTGGCGCCTCCTGTGTGCCTGGGTCTGACGTGGGCTCTCATTTCTGAGTCCAGGATGAACCCGGCCCCCGCTTTCCTGATATTTCCCGGGAGCAAGTCTAGTCAGGTCTGTCCGTCCCCAGCCCRTCCCCACCCACCTCGGCAGCTGTGGGCCAGAGAGAACTGTCCAACAGGACACGAGAAGGTGCATCCACCCCGCAGCAGGGCAGGGAGATGGGCAGTGGCCACCTCTGCTGGTGCATCTTTCTGGAATGTTCTCTAATGCAGGGCCTGGCTCTTAGTGGGTGCTGAGTGCAGGAATGGATACACCTCCTTCCTCCCCAGCCCAGGCCAGGCTGTGACAGCACATGGGCTTCTCCCACTGAGGGCCCCAGAGGCCAACAGCAGCACACAGTAGGTGCTCAGGAACAGGAAGTGTTCCTATTCTTACCTCTTCCCTATGATTACTCCTCCCCAGCACTGTGCACAACTTCCTGGTTGATCCCATTAACAACARCAGTTGCATTATTCATGAAGAACTTTCTGGAAGCATTGCCCTCTGCGACCCACCCACTCCACGGCAGGTTCCACTATCCTCATTTTACAGATAAGAAACACGGAGGTGCAGAGAGGTTCAGTCATTTGCTCAGTAAAAGAACCACCACCCCAGCTCCTCTCTGCACCTCTCCAAGGTGTGACTTTCCCAGGGGAAGCAAAGACAAACTCTCCTCTAAATGTTCCCCRCCAGATCCTCACAGCCTGGTGGTCAACGGTTCCAATCAATAAAATGTTATTGATTATCAGTTCATTTTGTTAAAAAAAAAAAAAAGGAGCCTGTTGGGTCTGATCGTGCACAGCCTGACACCCGCTGTGACCTGCTTGCTCTCCCTGCTTCCTGGCTGCGTTTCCAGGTCTGAACCCGAGAACAAGCCCATCGGCGGCAGCCTGGGGACCCGGTGGTCAAGGTCCAGACCCACCTGCCACCCGATGGCCTTGGTTTTCACTGTCACCAGGTATGGGGAAGGTAAGACCAACTCTGTGACCACGGAATGACCTCGTGGTAAACTGCAAGGCCGCTCCAGGAGGCCGGGGGTGGCCACTCTGGCCTGGGCTCGGCATTCACCTGGCCCCCAGGCGGGTTTCCTTGGGTGCCCTCCGCTGGCCAGGGGGCTGGGCTCTCAGGGGCGGGGCCCAGGCCTGCCAGCTCCCCTCCCCAGCCCCGGCCAGGGTTTGCTGGTGACCGTTTAGATGACACAGGCCTGCAGTGCTTCCACCCCACAAAGCCCAGGTCAGGGGTGAGGGGCAGGGGCCACTCCCTGAGTGCCGCGGCCTTAGCTCTCTGTCCACTCTGCACGGAAGGCCCCTTCCAGCTCTGCCTCAACAGGGAGGCCCCGGCCTTCGCTGGCTTCCCTCCAAGCCTACAGTGACCTCAGAGACAGAGTGGCCCCCAGGCCACAGGCTAGCTTACACCGTCTCCCAGGGGACCATGGGCACCTCCCGGCCGGGACTCGGATCCATCTCTACAGCCCAAGCCCAGCCCCCAGCCCACGGTGGGCCACCGAGTGTCTGAGGTTGTGCCCACTTGAAAGGAAGCCCTCCAGACTTGGGGCCTGGCTTGTCCCCCGCTTCCCTCTCCTCCGGCCTCCAGCAACCCATCCCTCAAGGAAGCCCATTGCCACACTTCCTCCCTCCATCACGTCTGAGAAGACAACTCCCCTGTCCCAGGACCCTCCTTTATGGATTTCAGTTCCCAGGCACCTTCCTCCCATGATCAAGCCCGCTTTACTTTCGCTCTGTGTATGGTTTTCAGGCCCATCACCTCCTTTTTCTACACGCCTGTCTTTATTGATACGGTCTGCTCCAAACGGAAGCTCAGCTCCTCAAGGGCAGAGAAAGTGGAAAGAGGCCTGAGGTCCTCTGCCCACTGCCTAAACAAATGCTGGTCAGCTTTGTGTTCATTTATTGTGTTCATTTATTGCCTGTGTGATTTTACATTTTATTGAGTAAGCTGCTCACAATCTCTTTTTTCCYAATTTTTTAAGAAATATTTTTAATTGGTTATTGGTTGATCTTTATTTTATTTATTTTGGTGCTGGGAATCAAACCCAATGCCGCAGACATGCTAGGCAAGCACTCTACCACTGAGCCACCACCCCAGCCCCTCACAATCTTAATACACAGGAATTCCCTCCACAGGAGATAACAGGAGGCACTGGGCCCTCGAGCTGATTGCTACAAGATTTTGTA